GGAAAGAATGTGAGAGACTGACGACTTTTTACTGGAAAAGCATTCTTCTCTTACATGATATTGTAATTCTCCTGAATTAGTCGCCTTGAAAGACTGTGTTTTGAAAACTACAAAGCACCAATAAACATGTGGTATTATATTTCAACAGTTTGTGTAGTGGTGTGACTACTGTACTTGGGGTCTAGGGACCTAGGTTTTAGACTGAAATCTGTGTATTAGGACTCTTGGTAGTAAGTGACAGAAACCTGATTTTTAACTAGCTTAAACATCAGTGTGGTTCTTAATGGGAACATGCTGTGAGGGATATCCACAGAACTGGAGGGCGACCAGTTGATCTTCATCTACACCTCATATTTTGTTTCTCTCCGAAGGTCAGGGTCATGTCAGGATGTTCCACAGAGCTGGGGGTGGCGGGCATGGCTGATGACAGCTCTGGGGTCGTGACTCAAGAGGAATGAGTAAGCAGAGGACTTTCCCTCCAAACTTTGGCACGAAACGTTCCAGGGATGGACTCAGACTGGCTCTAGTTCTCACTCGAATCAATCTCTGTGGCCAGGAAGGTGGTGGTCTGGGGTGAGGTACACACTGGGTAAGACCTTCAAGACGGGCAGCCCTACCACAGTCAAACTGCTGGAATGAGGGAGGGAGTGAAGCAGTTTTCCCAAGAAGAGGGGAAGGGTGCTGGACATGTAACAGCCCAGATGTCCACAATCCCTGCCACTCATTAGATCCATGACTTCTGAACCAGGCTGGGCCTCAGCCTTTCTATTTGTGGAGTGAGACACAGAGACGAAGGATCTCTATGATTCTCTCCCAGCCCAAATATATTATGAATTTACTGAAAGTCATGTTTTTCTCCTTATTCTTTTTTAACTTGCATGAGAATTAAATATCTCTGTTAGAGACCAGAAAAGCGTGATTCCACACATTAAATAGCAGAGGGAAACAGACCTATTTAAAGAACATCCTGCCTCTGAGGATTTTTAAGAAGGTGAAGCATCTTCCCATAGTTTCACCCCTGAAGCACAGAAATACCCAAACAAACTTTTCCCACAGCTCATTTTATCCCCATGAGGAGGGCTCTGATTGTGCCAGAAGGTCCCCGGGGGCTGAGTGCCTACCATGGCATTCTCTTGGTGCCAGATGGTCAGGGAAGGCAGGTGGGGATGTCATTTGTATCCCAGTATCTCCACCAGTAAGAGTGGGACCAAGTGGTCCTCAAATGCAGCCAGCTCGCTACATACTAACGGGGCCAGCTGACTCACTGCAGGGACCTGCAATCACTCCTCATTGTCATTCTTGTGTATGAGTAAGGAAGTGTAGCAATTAAAATCCGGTCCATGATTGTAATTAGCAACCATTAATTTCTAATTTTCCTCAATCTCTAACTCAGTCCAAAAGGCATAAATGCTTCCAGAAAGATTGTCAAGGTCTCATTTGTTTCTTCTTCCCCTTTTGTTTTTGTTTGTTTGTTTTGGGGGAGGTTTTGGGGGTGTTGGTTCCTTCTCTCCTCTCCCCTAGTTAAATTTTCCTGTTTTGTCTCTCTCTCTCTCTCTTTCTACTGTGGCTAGCCATTGATATTTATTAGGTTAGCATTTGTTTGTTAATGACATCAAGGCTTTTGAACCCAGCCAGAAATGAGGGTTATAATCAGGTAGTCTGAGTAATCAGTATGTTGAGCAAGAAGGATGGAGTCAAAACGGAATCTTATTTTGAATGTTGCTTCCTTCTATGACCTCAGAACTTATTTGGTAAGGACAGTCTTTCCTTTGCCTCTGGATGAAGACAAGGGCAGGTTGTGTTTGGGGTTGCCTCCATTTGCCCCTCAAGATCCACTCATCAACCAGACTCGTGCAGGCCACATCAATATATATGCTACGTTCCCTATGGATGCTTGTTGAACTTGGACAACGGGGAGCCCCAGCAGGAAACTGGACAAACGGACTGGAGCAAGGTCAAAGAATTTAATCTCCTGCTTCTCTCCTTGTGAGGTCAACTCAGCTGGCTTCATCCCTTGATTGAAGGGTGATCCTACCAAGGTGGTTTGCTCTTCATAGCTCTCTTTTCTTTGGGAGAACGCCTTCCCCACATCCCTGTGGGTCAAGGCTGTTAACATGGGTTCCTGATCCCCTGAGGATCTCTCCTACATGCTGTCTATACCTTTCTCATTTGACACTTTGTAAAGAAACCCTCCCCATATTATTGCAATTTGGGTGTACTCTCTTAGGGAGTAAACGGTTACGCAGCTATTTAGTTGCAGACAGAATCTCAGTGACAGAATGATAGTATCCAGTCCAAGATATTAATCAACGCTGCAGTCTTCTCTCCAAGACAAGAATTGTTACCCCTCTCCCCCAGGTGGTACATGTAGGTGGACACCTTCCTTTAGTAGGGGAAGGGTGTGTGGCTGGCCCTGCTTTCTTTTTCACCTTACCTGTTCTGGGCTATTTCCATTCCTAGGTTGAAATGGGGGACAAAAGGGACAAAATGGTTTTCACTTGACTTGGTTCTGTCATAACCTGGTTTTGCGCCCTCTGGCATGGCGTGGTTAGAACCAAATATCTCCTGGCCCCTCAGAAGCTCCCTGCACTCTCACCCCAAGCTGCTCACTCATGACGCAGGAAGTTCTCCCCTTGGGCCTCTTCACACTTGGATTCTCACTTCTGGAAAATCATTATCCTTCCAGGTTATATTGGGCAGAATTTAAGATTCCAGGTGTGAAGTTTAAATCAGCAAACTCATACCTGGTTGACAACCTGTCTGGCTCATCTTCGTTGTTCCACCAAATCAGCTTAGCTGCTTGATTCTCCTGTTGGTCACTGTAACCCCAAACACCTGGGAACCCACAGGCCCTGAGAATGGTTCCTCAAAGTCTTCTTGAAGCTGAACTGAGGCAAGGGGGCAGATACCCTCCACCTCCTCTACCAGGTAGAAGTGGAACTCACATCCCAGCCCGTCTCCAAAGAAATCCTTCTTATGAAGTCATCTCGGTCACTATTTGCGCCAGACCTTAATATTGCCAAAATGTGGGAGGTGGGTTAGGGCAGGAGGGATTTAATTCTCCAACATCCACTCTGAGGATCTCTCCAGGGGAGGGAGGCAATCTGTCTCACACATGTTTTGGTGTGTCATTTTTACCCCATCTTGGAGTCTCAGTCAAAATCTCAATTTTAACATACCATAAAAGATGGTTACATACACTTTTAGTTGCTAGATAAAACAGGACAGTTCAAACCTTCTTCCACAATAAAGAGGATTTGTTGGTTCACATAACTGGTAGAGGCCGGAGGTCGCATGCTCTGTATCTCTGTGATCGCTCAGCTCTGCCCTTCTCCATGTTTTCAAGATGGCTGCCAGAAGCAATCTGGGTATGGGCTTTTTTGTTCAGACCCAGGGAACAAAGAGGACATCTTTTCCCTCAACCCCTGAACAAGAGTCTTGAGATTTACTCTGACTGGACAAAAGTTGATAACTTAGGTCAAGCTGTTAATTTGAGCGAATTCTTATCACCAGGGGAGCACGATGTATTGATTGGCTCAAGTCTTGGGTAGGAGCCATCACTGCACCGTGACTGTGGAAGAGAGATGGGTTACCTTAATTGGGTTAATCCATTCCTGGAATTTGGGGTGATGTTAGTGGACTTGAGCGTGGGACTCAACCTTGTGCAAATCTCCCAGTTGTGTAACTAAGAGGAGGGGTTGGAATGGCTGTTCAGGAAGCTCTTGCCACCACCCAGTTCAAGGTCATCTTACTCAAGCATCTAATTTTGTCCCCACATAAAATGCGGTTTTGTGGAGTTCTAAATACTTTATATTCATAATACAAACATACTTGTGACGACAGAGGGGTTCATTTTGCCTTGGGGCCGACTTCTCCATTAGGCACAGTGCCTAGGGCCATGGTACTTTTACAGCCCCATGAAAATGTCTGAATTTCCTTTAAAATCAGAAGAGAAAAAGGAACTTTAAGGTCAAAGAAAATGTTTTAATATAAAATATATATATTCATCTTTATAGTAATACAGTTATAAAATATAATTTGTATAATAATAATAATAATAATTATTATTATTAACGGGGAAATGGGCCTACTAAGGCAAAAGTGCATGGGTGAGAAACTAATCAGGCAGCCCCTCTTTGCATTCCTTCTTTACTGTGATATCCCACGACAGAATTTAAGTGTTGACAATAAAAACCCAAAGTCTGGGGCAAGGAGATCATCCCTTTGAATTCCGAGTTACTATCCACTTACTTAAAGAACAGATGTGGGTGGTACCGGAGATACTACTGTGCCTGAAAAGAGCAGTCCAGGGAGGTCAAGCTTGCTTGCACACAAAAAAGGAGAGAAGGCAGTTTTCCCCCCATTGCAGGCTAATTGACGCGGACGCGGCACTTTAGAGCATTCCAAGCCCATCGTCGCACTGGATCCTCGTAAAGAACCCGGTGCGGTACTGACCCATTTAATCCACGAAGAATCAGAGTCCGGGAGAGCAAACAGACTCTCCGCAGTTTGCTTCATGGTTACTGCGTCGTGGCCCACCCGACCCATTGGCTGGATTTGGGAGGACAGGGCCGAGAAATCTGTTTTCACCAGCTTCCTGGTGACCCTCGGGCGCGCTGAAATTTGAGGGGCTGCAGCATGGAGGAGGGGGAATGAAGCTGTAGAAAGCAGATGTGTTCCCCAACTCCTCTTCCCTGGGTGGTGTGTGAGGCGGCGTATTCACTTTAGTAACTAGTAAAGGGGCTCAATACCGCTCCCCACGTAGACTGTCCGCCGGGTCTCCAGCAGCTTCAATTACCTAAACACGGAAAATCTCACAGCCCCAGAGGTGAACCGGCGCTGCTCAGCCCGACAAAGAGCATGCGCCCTAGCAGGTTGCCCGCCATTTCTTCTCTTCCAGGCCCCGCCCCCTAAGGCCCCACCCCCTTCTGGTCTCTGCCTCCTTGCCCCGCCCCGCGCAGGCGCAGGCGCAGGCGCGCATTTCCCGTGGCGCTCCGCGACGCGGGCGATTTGGAGGAATGGCGGCCGCTTGGTCTTCCAGTCGTTGCAAGGGATGCTCTTCTACAAGCTGTACGTGTGGCGGTGACAAGGGCAAGTGGAGCGACTCCTCTCTGTTGGGCAGGCGGCTCTCGGAAGACTCGAACCGTCACCAGCTGCTGCAGAAGTGGGCAAACATGTGGAACTCCGTGAGCGGAGACGCGTCGGTGGCCTGTGGAGAGGGGACGCGGCGCGAGGAGGCTGCGGACCCCGCCGAGGAGGAGGACAGGCCGCTGGTGTTTCTGTGCTCCGGCTGCAGGCGGCCACTGGGCGACTCGCTGAGCTGGGTGACGAGCCAGGAGGACACCAACTGCATCTTGCTGCGCTGTCAGTTGCCGCGCCTGGGTGGGAAGTGGGGGTGGGGGTGAGGAGGCGGGGAAGAGCTTGTGCGGCACCTGGACCGCCTGGGAGGAGAAGGGGAGGTGGCTGTTTTGGGGCCGTCCAGGGTTTTTAAAAGCAAAGAAATCTTAGAAGGTGAGCTGTCCCAGGAAAAAGGGAGGAGGAGGGTCACCCCAGCACCTTGGGCTCACGAATGATGGGTCCTTTTCTGGGATTCCGCCAACCCAGAAGAGCAGCGATTCAGTCGGCATCTTTGTGAGCATTGTACAGTAAAAAGTGACCTAAACTCTAAGCATTTGGGATGTGGCCACTCTCTATTACTCCCCACAGAAATTAGCTGGCTGTTAATTCGTAAATAATATGTTCATGGTTTATTTAGGAAATGAAGCTTTTCAGCTACCTGTTTCCTGCAGGGGGATGTCAGGATTGGTTTTTCTTATCTTATTAGTTGTGTTAGAGTTGTCAGAACACATTACTATCAGAATATTTTTTTTTAAGGAAACTTGTAATAAAAACACTAACAGTCTCCTCAAAACTGGAGAGGAAGGAGTTAATTGTAAACAAGTCAAGAAGGTGGCTTGAAATCTAGCTTCTAATACTGGCTCTGCCAGTTACCTCTGTGTTTCTCTGCTTTGTTGATTTCCTAGTATTTACTTAGGGGAGTGGTTCACATGTAATTTTCTGAATGGCTGTAAAAATGGCTATTCTTTTTGGACTTGTGGTTTTCAAATCAGGTTTATGTCTGAATTCTATAAATATTTGGAAGAAATTCACCACGGAGATACCATTAATCCTCCCAATCAGTGTCTGTTGTTGGAGGTCTAGATTGTTTCCAGAGTTGCTGCCATTAGAACAGTGTGTACTTGGGTTGAGGTTTTTGATATTGTAGGAGAATCTCTTTTTCTTAGTAGGCAAGAAATAATACATTTGATGTTTAACCTTTCATTTTATTTGTACTTTCTGTTTTTACAGTCTCTCTTCTATCATTTGCCACATGCTTTTTTCCCCTTTTTAAAATATATATAAAAACACATTTACTTTTTATCAGTTTTTAAATTTTAAAAACTTAATCAGCTTTAGATAATTCGATTTACTCCCCCTCTTCATCACTGCTGCTGTGAAAGATAAAGAAATGAATTCTTTGGTTAATTTCTATTCCCTCCTGCCTCGGTTTGAGTTAGTTTGATTATTTTTAGTTTGTCAAGGTTTATCACACTTATTCTGTTCTGTAGCCATAGCGTGGTTGTTGAACCTTAATATACCTTCTTGTATGAATTTGTTTTTTTAACTCCAGGACTCTTATTAATAGCTTTCTCATTTCTGAGTTGTTTATTTCATTATCATCAGTAGACACTCTTCACCCCCACCCCAATCCCCAAGAAAACTTCAAGTTTGAATGGTTGGAAATGTCTTTCTGTTCTCTCTATACACGAATGGCAACTTGACTACATGCACAATTCTGGGGTCACGCTCTTTGCTTTTTCCAGGCAGAGAGAAGCTAGTGCAGAGGCCCTGAGGTTAGTGTGGACATTTTAGGTGTGATGTCCCTTCTTCATTTCCCTCCATCCCCTATCCCTTCCTTTAGTGCATCCTGGACCTGGATCCTCTGGAAATGTTTCCTGCTTCTGGGGTCAACTGTGACCCTATCCAGGACATGGTCTAATTAAAAGATTTTTGTCCAGGTCCCTAAGAACTCTGCATTTGAAACATGGGCTTTAAGCATCTTTCTGGGGGTTTTCCCACTTTTATTATACCTTGCAGGTATTCTTGGCAGTCTGTGATTGAGGTTCTAATTGTTTCAAGTTTTATTGGCTGTTGAATTTTCCCTGCTAATTTTACTCCTTCTATTAATGTCAGTGGTTTTCAGGGAAGAGAAAGAAGTAACTCTCATTCTGCCATCTTTTTTCCAGAAGACCTCTGTACATTTAGTTTTGAACCACCTTTGTTTATATGTGACTCTGGGCTCTTATTTTTTCTGGTTCTCTGAGTGCTAAAGTAAAAATTGAGTTAGAGTTTCTTTAAATATCTGCAGGTGTATTATAGCAAACCACATTAATACGTTATGTTACTTTGCTGTAGGTGTTTCCTGTAATGTTGCTGTGGATAAGGAACAGATACTATCCAAACGTAAAAATGAAAATGGTTGGTGAGTAAGGCTATTATCTGTGTGAATATATGTATTAGAGAAGATGTTTATTTTTCAACTAAAAATCTTTAATAAGGTCATTACCAGTAAGAGTAGTTGGGATATAACTTTCTTCATGGTGATCAATATAGAATCAGTCATTTTAATGTAAGAATTTTTGAGTGATGGTGGTCATTTTTAGATATTGTGATGAAAGAGTTTCTGAATTTCCAAAGTCACATTCCGACACTCTCTTCTGGGTCTTTGGGCTTAGTGCTAAAGCAAGTTGAAAATAAAAGTAGAAAAAGAAATTATCTGTATCATAAAATCCCAGCCAAAGGGTGCCTTAGACCAATGCTACCTACTTTTTTTTAATGTTATGTTACCCATAGAAAATGCTGGCATCACACTCACACGCGTGGACATGTGGCCTGTTGAGGTAAACTGACAAGGCTACATGAGGCCAGAAGCAACCAGCACGGGGGCTCCAACAGTCCGGGGCCCGTGCTGCAGCTGCAGGAGTCGAAGGGATCACCGTCTTGATGTACCTGCCACCGACTGCTACAAGCCGCATCCTCAGGCTCTGCCTGTATAATTGTTGCCCAAAGTGTGTCTTAACTGATCTGTCTTAAGTAACTTTGGGTGGCATACAAACAACTAAACAGAAATTAATAATCATGTATTTGTTTTAGTGTGTATTTAAAAATACTCATTTTTCATTTTAAAGTAGTGCCGGAGGGTCCTATTCAAATAAAGTGTGTTTCAATTTAAAAAATTACCCTCTTTAAGGAGAATTAAATTAATAACAGTACAAGTAGTATGTGGATGTGATGGAAGTGGTGCTGCGGGGACGCAGAGGACCTCAGTCTGGAAAACCAGCCTTAGATCATTTCTCATTCTGTAGATAAAGAAAGACCTGGTGAGATTAGAAGTTTGCTTAAACCATAAGACTGTTTAGTAGAGCTAGGATGGTGCCCGTGTCTCTCCTTCCTTCTTTTTTTGTTTTTTTTTTTAAAGATTTTATTTATTTATTTGAGAGAGAGAGAGAGAAAGCACACGAGAGGGGAGAAGGTCAGAGGGAGAAGCAGACTCCCTGCGGAGCTGGGAGCCCTATGCGGGACTCGATCCCAGGACTCCAGGATCATGACCTGAGCCGAAGGCAGTTGCTTAACCGACTGAGCCACCAGGTGCCTGTCTCTCCTTCCTTCTTGGAAAGTGTTCTTTCTTCTTTCCTTCCAATGTTAGTTATTTTGATGCCACTTTCACCATTTTTGCCATATCCACATACTAGCTTTGCTATCATGTACTTAGTATCTTTCATTACATTGACTCCAGATTTTCATTTAAATTTATTTCAAAAGGAATCTGATATATTACTGCCATATCATTTGCTTGAACTAGAAATTAACCATAGTGAAAACAAATTGTTATTAAATTCTAGCAAAGATGCTATCACCTGACTGGTTCTGAGCCTGAGGTCTGGATTCTCACTGTTAAGAGATCTGCAGCTGTGAGATTCTTGTTAAAGATTTCCTACCCCTGGACTGAGACTTTCTTTTTATAATCGGGATTGATAGGGAACTGAAAAGGGGAATTGACTCCTATTCTGTGAGCCATTGTTATTTAGTCCTGTTTACTTGTGTCACCTGAACCCATCACTTTTGCCACATAAATTTAAATTCAAGACATTCACTAGGGTCCCATAATCTGCACTTGGGGAAATAACCTACCATATTGCCTTGGGATGCTCTTAAGTTTTTGATGGGCCTGTCTGACCGGATAGCCAACAAGGGCACTCGTGGGTTTTAGAAACGTGTCGTGAGGTTAGCAGTGCCGTTTCCTGGGTTCTTTCTGTCATTCATTAAGGTTCTTACATGCTCACTCTTTTCTTCGAAAACTCATTTTCTTTGAAAAATCACCCTAGGATTTCTGGCACTGCTTTCTCAGTATTGTTCAGTGTTAAGGCTGAGTTCTGGCCAAATCCTGGCCAGTGGGGAAAGCAGAAGGACGTTGCAGTAACTGTGCTGCTCTCTCCATTGTTCCTCAAGGTCACTCTGGAGGTGTGAACGGGTTTGCATGTGTGTTCCTCAGTGCTGTTTTTTGATTTGGGTAATCTGGGATAAGACACTGTTATCTGTTGATGAGTGTGTTTTGTATTTTAGGTTTATTTAAGTATCCTTTTTGGTGATTACACCTGCATTATATGTTTGTTCGCAATCTTGGTAATTGTGTATGGCAGCCACACAGAGACGACGAAGTTCGAGATGTAGTATGGACATCTGCCTGTTCACTCTTGGTAGTATGGATAGGGTTCCCTCCAGGGCTTTACTAAGAAATATAAAATAAAAAATAAATATAAATTTGAACTATTAAAAAAATATATAATATTTTTAAAAATATAAAAACATGTAGAAGCTTAATATATGATCAGTGGCATATTATCTAGCTAATTATATCACCAGTAGGGACTTATCATTTATTGGGCATTTTGTTCTTTGTTCCATATGTAGCTGCAATAGTTAAAAAAGTCTCTCAGTATCTTTAGGTAAACAATAATGCAGTCTCTAATTTAATGTTGTTTGAGTCTTGGTTGGCTCCACTTTTTGATAACAGGAATAGCTCTGTAGTTATTACAAATGGCTAATACCAATAGGAATTTTGAAATAATAGCTATCTTTTGTGATGTATATTATATTATGATCCCTAGATCTAAATCTTCAGTTATCAGTTTGCTATGTGTTGGGACTGTGATTTATTATAGATACTTAAACGTTGGCAAATTTGGATAGGTCAACTTGACAGGGCATTTGGGTGACTGGATTCTAAGATTTTCAGAAGACACGAATTGACATTGTGGGGGAGATTATATTCAAATATGCAGAGCCTGAGATGAGAAATAACTAGAATGAAGGAACAATTATGTGGAGAACTTGGATCATCAAGTAAAATATTTGTGAGTTGTCTGTGTACAACATATCTGTAGTGGATAGAAGAGTGTTAGGTCAAAGTGTAATTAAAAAGAGAAAGGCAGTCACGATCCCAGGATTCTGGGCTCGAGTCCGCATCGCGCTCTCTGCTCAGCGGGGAGCCTGCTTCTCCCTCTCCCTCTGCCCACTGCTCTTCCTGCTTGTGCTATCTCTCTGCCAAATAAGTAAATAAAATCTTAAAAAAAAAAGAGAGAAAAAGGCACCCCTAACAGGAACATGATGAGCACATGTCAGAGATTTATTTAACTCATTGCTCGGGGAGTCGGAGCCTCGCAGAGCTGGTTTAGGGAAGGAGTCTCTTTGGAACAAATCTAGTTACTGTCCTGCAGGACAGCAGAGCCTCGGCCTTTGAGGTTACCTTTTCTACTAGCAGAGAACCTTTGTGTCTCTACCAGACTAAAATTATTTCTGATTTTACAAATTATCAATCTTATTAATCTCCTTTCTATAAGTTATCATCTAACTTCGGAGAGTCTGGGCCCTAATCAGTAGTAGTGAGCAACCAGTGTTGCCTTCCGGGAGGGCAGAGTATGGCCCATGGGCCAGGCACTTATTTTGGAAGTATATTTTTATTGGAACACAGACACAGTGTGGATTCAGCTATGTATTATCTGTGGCTGCTTCTGTGCTGTAATAGTAGAGGTGAGTCATTGTAGCAGACACCACACGGCCTACAGATTAAAGATACTTGTTTCCCGGATCATCGCAGAAGAAATCTGCCTCCTTGTCCGCGAGCGTTCATGAGGCTTGGTGGGCTTGTTGGACAGTGTGCCAATAAAAGGGCATGTGGAATCCTTGTCTTATTTTTAATTTTTAGGTAATTTTTCTTAATACCAGATGGAGGTATTTACATTCTAGAAAAACACCACATCAGTATCCTCCCTTGTCACTTTTCTGATGTCCCCTGTCACTAGGTGCTGCAGGCAGTGTAGCCTGGAGGTGACTGTCTACATTTTTTAATATAAATATTTTACTATTATTTTTTTCCTTCTTTATACATAACATGTGACCTAGTAGGTTGGAATAACCTATTTTAGCAACTTAAATATTAAGCGTTTATGGGTTTTAACAGTGGGATTTTTGTGATAATGAGTTGCTCCTTCCCTGGCTGAAGCAATGGTCCTTCCTCTGTGCAGCATTCTGGAGGCCCTCTCCTGCACGGGGTGCTCGCTCAGGCTTGGCTACGTGTACAGGTGCACACCCAAGAGCCTAGACTACAAGAGAGACTTGTTTTGCCTCAGTGTGGAAGCCATTGAAAGGTAAGTATACTGAATAAATGAGTACCTTGTAACTGATTTCTTGGAAAGTTGTTTGCAGAAAAATGGGTATGAAAACTTCAGAACTAAATCAACACTGTTTGGTTAAAATATATTTTCAAGTAATAATTTCTGACAGTAGAGCTGGTGATTTTTTCTTTGTTTTGACCTAATGTATTTGGTATTGGAAAATCAGACATAAGTTGTAAGGAGAAATCACTGTGAGAATGTTTTTTTCAGAATAAAAATAGGTTCAGTTTTCCATAAAAATTGATTTAGTTTAAGAGGATTTTTTAAGCAGTTGTGCAGATCAATATGTGTCATCCATTTTATTCCAACCCCCCTCTCCCAAGTTTTTAGCCATCTAGAATATGAAGGATTTGGAATTTCAAAACTGGTTAGGAAGGAAGTCCCTTTGGTCTTCTGGAAAAGCAGAAATACAAAGTCCAATACAATCTTTTTTAAAGATTTTATTTATTTTCTTGCATCTAGTAAGGAATTGCCTGTTTTTTTTCTGAGGCATGCAAGGAAGTGCCTTCATTCTCTAAGATTTCTATAAAAAGTAGACATTTGGAAACAAGGCAGATAGGAGGCTGATGACAGATGTCAGTTAAGGAGTTTTCAGATAGCTTTTATTTATTTATTTTTAATTTTTATTTATTTATTTTTAAAAGATTTTATATCTTGGAGAGAGAAAGAATGTATGAACAAGGGGTAGGGACAGAGGAAGAGGGAGAAGCAAGCTCCCCACTGAGCCTGACATGGGGCTCAGTCCCAGGACCCTGGGATCATGACCTGAGCCAAAGGCAGACATATAATTGACTGAGCTACCCAGGCACCCAAGAGTTTCAGGCATCTTAGTGGCCTTCTAATTCTTGAGCCTTTTTAAATAGGAAACACAAAATTAAATCACTTATTTGACCCCAATGTATTTTCACTTATCCTGCAAAAGATGTAACCCTCAAGCCTTTAAAGATGCCTGAAAACCTTATACATCAGGAAAGAAGAATAGTTTAAGAAGAAAAGAATTTATTTATTTATTTGACAGAGAGACGTAGTGAGAGAGGGAACACAAGCAGGGCGAGTGGGAGAAGCAGGCTTCCCACCGAGCCGGGAGCCCAATGCGGGGCTCAATCCCAGGACCCCGGGACCATGACCTGAGCTGAAGGCAGGTGCTTAACGACAGAGCCATCCGGGCACCCCAAGATGAAAAGAATTTTAATGCCAAGGAACCTGGTTGGTTTTAGAAGTGTTTATTTATACTTTTGGGGGTTTTTTAAAAGACTATTTTTAAGTAATTTCTACACCCAGTTTCGGCTCAAACACATGACCCCAGGATCGAGAGTCGCGTGCTCTGCGGACTGAGCCAGCCGGGCGCCCCTGTTTACAGTTCTGTAAATTACTGCACGCCACTTCCTTTCCCACCTCATGGAATTCTTCTTTCCTAAACAGGATGTTAATTGCCTTCTGCCTTTTTACCTCCCATGCCATTTTTCAGAAATACAATCACTGAGGCTTCCAAGGGAAGCTTGGTCTTATTTGACAAAGGAAGTGACCTGCTGAAGTAGCTGCGTGTGAGGAAAGACTGTGGAAGAAACGCACATTCATCAGCTTTCTTTGGAGAAATATTAGCACCTTCTTGTTTCCTGTTTAGACTTATTGGGTTACCAACCCGGGGACTGTTTTCCTTGTTTCCAGGCCAACACTTCTCTTGTCTCATATTTTCTACACCACAGCATCTCCTAACCTGAGAGAGCTGAGCGAAACATAACTTGGAGGATATCTGTTGAAGTTGGCAAATCCAAGTCACCAAGAATTGACTCCATATATTATTTACTAAAAGTCAAATTTGAAAGTACCCATGTTCCCAAAAACTTATAGAAAGCAAAAAAGCAGTGGCTTCTTCAGAATCTTTTAAAACTTTTTAATTATAGAATTTTGAACTAGGAGGGGTGCCTGGGTGGCTCAGTGGGTTAAAGCTTCTGCCTTCGGCTCAGGTCATGATCCCAGGGTCCCGGGGTCCCAGGATTGAGCCCTGCATTGGGCTCTCTGCTCCATGCGGAGCCTGTTTCCTCCCCTCTCTCTGCCTGCCTCTCTGCCTACTTGTGATCTCTCTGCCAAATAAATAAATAAAATCTTTTTTTAAAAAAAAAAGGAATTTTGAACTATGTTAATGTTTTGCTACTCGGTTAACTAAAGACCAAGTTTGTTCAAGGAATGAAATACTTAGAATTTTGGATAATATAAAGCAATGCCTGGACCAGGGTATTTTGGAGAAAAACTTGATTTTAGGTGGTACAACTTCCTGTGTAAGTTAGTAGTAACAAAAACGTTATTTTATGTTCATTTGGTACAAATACATAGTGTAAGATAGAGTTAATGTTATTAACTAACATGAATTTCATATTTGCCTCTTTTTCATATTTTAACTTTGTACTATGCTATACCACAGTTATATTTTAGGGTCCTCGGAAAAGCAAATTGTGTCAGAAGATAAAGAACTTTTTAATCTCGAAAGCAGAGTTGAAATAGAAAAGTCTCTAAAGCAGGTAATTCTGTTCTGTACTTTTTCTATCTTTGTATGAACAACTTCCTATTAGTGCGCAAGCACTCCTGCACAGACAGCCCTCGGAATGGCATCTGGTTTGGTCTTAGTACTTACCCTGGTAAGAGAGCGCCTGTTTTATTTCAGGCGTTAATAAAGTTGATTTTGGGGGTTAGCCAAACTTACGCTAAAGCTTTATCAAAAAAAATTATAAGACGTTTCATGTCTCAATCAAAACCATATAGATCCAGAAACTAGTAAACTATATTTCATTTGATTCAGTCCTCCTGGTCTAAACAACCTGCAAATGTTTTTGAATGTTGACGTCGTCCCATGGCAGATAGGCAAGGTACCGAGGAGTGGATAGAAGCTCTAGGTTAGAGGCTGACAACGATGCCTTATTTACATAAAATTCAGAGTATGCCTCTAAACACTTTCACGTGTAATGCATACCTTTTTTTTGTCGTTAACTTATTTTTCTTTTATTTTTATAAAATTTGAGTCTAGTTGGCACACAATATTACATTAGTTTCAGGTGTACAACTTAAGTGTTTTGACAAGTTGATACATTATGCTTTGTTCACCACAAGTATAGCTACTGTCTGTCCTATTACCTCACTATTACAATATCATTGACTGTATTCCTTATATTCTTTTACTCCCATGGCTTACTCGTTCCATAACTGGAGGCCTTCACCCATTTTGCCCAACACCCCCTCTCCCTCCCCTCTGGCAACCGTCAGTTTATTCTCTGTACTTAGAAGTCTAATTCTGCCCTTTGTTTGTTTATTCATATTTTTAGATTCCATTTATGAGTGGAATCAATAATATTTGTCTTTTTCAGCCTGACTTATTTCACTTAGCCTGATCGCCTGTAGGTCCATCCATGTTGTCTCATGATCTCAGCCTTTCTCATGGCAGTATAATATTCCACTATAAATTCGTGTGTGTGTGTGTGTGTGTATGTGTATGTGTATATAAATATATAACTTTTCATAAATTTTGTTAATGATACGTATTTTAATCAGGTATGATTTTAATCATAATCTATGTGTATCTGAAAATATTTTTTTAATTCAATAGATGGAAGATGTTTTGAAAGCCTTACAAACGAAGCTATGGGAGGTTGAATCAAAATTGTCCTTCACCAGTTGCAAAAGCTGAAATCTTCTAAGTGCCCCCACTCTGGACTCCCTGCTGATGGACACTTCTTTCATATGTAGCAATTCTGGTTATCATTTGATTTCACCTAGAATGGAAAGAGTTCTAAAGGGCTGTATGTATATTCTCTTGTATTGATCAAGTGAGAAGAATTGTAGAACTACTTTACAATATAATAAATGGTAAAGAGATGGTTATTTCCTGAAGTTGAATTTTAAAGCCATTTTATGATACTTGCTGAAATTGGAATTTAGTAGCTTTTGTGTTGATAAGAAACTGCCATGATCTTTTGAACTCTTCTCTCTGTACTGAGTTCATTATTCATTTCCTTTAAAAAAATTTTCATTCACCTTTAATACTTTGGGAAATATTTAATATTGAATGGCAAGAAAATCTTAGGGGTTTTTCCTCCCACTGTGTGACTGACTCTCTCTGAAAATGGATGCATAAAGCTCTCTGAAGAAACCGGTCAGTTGAATCACTTGTCAGAACTGTTTGAAAACTTGCACAGGAGCCGAACAGCATAGAGTCTCACGGTAGTAGAATTCCTCTGGGTCTGTTTGTTTACTCCTGTATGCCCCCCAAAATCTGGAATAGTATTTGCCAAAGAGACCAGTAGTCATTCTCTGAGGGCGGGGTTCTGGGGAATTTTCAATATTCTGTAATGTGAGACTTAGAGTAAGCCTGTGCTATCTTTAAAATCAGGAGGAGACTAAAGATGAAAACAAAGTATTTTAAGATTGATTGCAACAAAACTGAGTTGCGGTATTTAACTGAACTCAGAAATCCTGACGCCATGAAAGCCTGCTCAGGAATGTACAGGTAACCCCAGATTTCTCCAGGCGCCTTTCTGGTTTTGGGTCCAGTTGAGGCCGCACAACATTAGTACTCAGTATGTATGAGGAACTCAACTCAGTTTCTGCTCAGGAGTTCCCTACTTATTTCTGAGAATACTTAAAGGTATCCCAACAAAAGGATTGACTGACTCATTTACAGTTATTATTTTTGATAGATTGGCAGTAACACCTGGCAATTAGAGATTAGTGAGCCCCCTTGGTCTCCTCTCACGCAGACTGCGACCAGGTAGAATATGGTGGTGAGACAGCACATACTTGTCCCTGCTGGCAACAACACGGTCGTCTTGCCTCGGTCAGCTCGAGGCAGTCCCCAGTGTCTGTCCCCTCGGGTGCTTCAGGGCAGCTGGCACGTGAGTTCATTTGGAGCAGATGGGTGAGTGCGGTAACAGCAGGAATTCCTCTAACTTCCTGGTTGTGCGGCGGCAACAGACCAGCAGTCACGTTCAGGGCTGTTCCAAAGACAGGTGGTTTGGCTCCCTAATTCCTTTATTCTGCTCCTACTGGGGCAAGATTTCTAGTTAATCCACGCATCTTGAAAACTACTCATTTCACCAGTGAAAAATCATTTCTAAGATCCAAAGTGCTGACTGAGCGTCTGTTGTGGATCAGGAGACGAGCCCAGCTCAGGTGCTCTGGGCTGCCTCTGGTGCGGACTTGGGTTAGCCACAGTTGCCTTTGCTGTCAGGCTGTCCTTCAGAGGAAGCTAAGGGAACACTCCTGGGTGCAGATGGGACGCTCACACGCTTGTATCACGTGCTCTGCTCTGAAGCCCCCGGAAGGAGATCCCAGGAGACAGTTGCATTTCGTAAGGCGGAGTCTGCATCTTCGGCCTCTGCCCGTGATGTCACTGAGGCATGTTCTTGCCCCTGCCAGAGAGCTGCTCAGCTTCCCGGACCGCTCACCTCGAGGCCTCCGGGTGGGAATACTTTGTCCTCCCTGCATGCTGCTCTGTGACACCTGCAGGAGGAGGGGGCCCCCCCCACCCCATTCCGGGCCAGCCTCTCCTGTTTCCCCGAAGGCTGGGAGGCCTGGCTTGAAAGGCTTTTGCCTGAGGTCTCAGAACGCTACTGTAAAAACGCATCCTGTGTATCCACGTCCTGTCATCGACAAGACTTGAGGCAATGGGTTCTTGTTTCTGTTCCTTGTGACTGAAAAACAGTGTGCTCTCGTTGCTGCTTGCCAAGTTCTGATGAAGCACGGCTGGTGGGCAGGAATGCGGTGCTGAAGCAAGACACGGACATTCCAGCCCAAGTTGCAAAAGACTCAAAGAGTCTTCAGGCAGATCTACCCAGAAATTGTCCTGTCAGCCATCCCCGTAAAGGGGCACTCCCCTGTTCTTTAGGGAGAAGCTCTGGAAGCTGATACCAGGACCTATTACATGATCTTTTTAGATTCTTCTAACCACGTCTGCATAGAACATTATAGTTTCATCCGAGTGTGGGTTCTGTCCTCAGCAAATGCTCTCATCGTGTTTGTAAATTTCCAAGCTAGAGAGCACACTGCGGTCATTGCTCTGTGTAGCACCTGCGCCGGGATGGAACGCGTCCTGTCTGGATGGTTCTAGTCAAGCTCTGGACATGTAAAATGGGCAGCATCAGGGGAAGGCCTCCTTGCAGAACTGGGTCTACGCATTTAGTGGGAAATTCTTGAACAAAGAAGCTGTGAGCGAGACTTGCTCAGCTTGTGTTTGAGGGATGGTCTCACAGGTAGCAGAAATCCTGGGTCAGGATCCCAGTCGAACTGCTTTCTTCAGCCATGTGACCTTGAGCAAATTATTTAATCGTTTTGAGCCTTTGTTTCCTCATCTATAAAAAGAGGCTATAATAACCTTCCCCTGAATCACAGATTATCAAATTAGGTAATGCTTATGAGAGTGCTTTGAAAACAGTAAAGCATCACAAAAATGAAATGACAGTGATTTATAACCTTGTTTAGAATAGAGTTGATCTGATTCCTTCCTACCTAGTATCCCCATAAGATTCTAGGAGTGTAAAGGGAGAAATGTGAAACACCATAGTAAAAATATATATATTACCATTTGCTTCTTTCTCCAATTACAAACACAACATATGAACATTGCAGAAATTTTGAAAAATAGCACAAAGAAGAAAATAAAGCACATAATCTCACAACTAAAAAAATTAATGATTGACTTTTCGGGGTACGTTTTTATAGTCATTGTTATATGCAAATTTGGAATAATACCAAACATACTGTTTTCACTTAAACTACTTCATAACTATGTTTCTGCATTATTAAATACCTGATTTTTAGTGAACACCTATTTTTAAGGAAACATTTTAAAACCTGTTCAAGTGCAATCATATGGTATGAAATTCACACTTTCAGTGGCTTAACAACTGAGTTTACTTGTCAAATAAGAGGGAAGGTGTGAAATCTTAAACCAGTTACCTCCGTCTGGCTCCAGGGCGTGCAGGATCTGAGAGCCAGCTGTTAAATTGTCAGGAATTTTGTGAGTTGGTTGTTAAACTGTTGGTAGCTTCGCGTTGGCCGTGGCTGGGAGTGTTTATACCAGAAAAATCAGCACGTGCTAAAGAACCCAAAATGCCCCTTCACACCGCCACCAGCTGGTTTCCCAGGACATTACTGTGTATTTTGAATCTCCCTCCATACTGTTTGTCTTAAAGTTTAAGGGAAGGAAAAGGAATTCTTTTGTCACCCAGACGATTCCATCTAATGTCTTTTCATTTAATAAATCTAAAATGAAACACTGTATCTTAAGACTTTAGTGACTACAGCCACATTCTTCACCGCCTGGAGAAAAAGCAGAGGTACCTGAAAGCTAATGGCTTAAAATTTTGTATAAATAGTCAATGTTGTGTATATATATCTGTATATCTCTTTTTGTTCTTCCTGAATAAATAGGTGGGCGGTTGCACTGCCTGTGAAGCAGCAGACAGCACATTTGCAATTGCTTTGAACTGAGGTAAGATCATTTACTCTTTGATCTAACCCAGACTGGTTTGGGTACTGATCATTAATTTTGTTTAATAAGAGCTGAGTTCCATCTATCTGGCAGGGGTTTATCTAGGCAGGTGATCACAGCGGCAGGCAGTCAAGGTCAATCTATGTAATTGTAGTCTCTTCAGAATGTGTACACTTGTCTAAATTCTTGTGATAATTAGATGGCAACGGGAAGGAAGGGGTCGGAGGGGTGATGGCCCACCTGTGGTTTGAACTAGAACTGGCCTCATTTCGTTCAAGTTAGCTCCAATCGACTTCTGCTAGCCGGACAAAATTAAATTAAGCCTAACTCCCCCCCCCCCCCAAACAATTACCACCATGGTTTCAGATATCCTCCATCAGACTTTAAGGCAGAGAGGGACAAGGTGCCCTCAAGGGCCCTTTCAGCCTCCTAGCTCATGGGAGCTGAAAAAGGAAATGAGAGAGAGTTCTAAGGGAGGCAGTGAGAATCCCTGAGCTGACTTCGCAAGCTTGAGTTCTCTCCCCCACACACGTTGTCACGTTCACAAGTCTCCCGCTGACCGCCGTGGGACTCCCACTCCCACTTACCAGGAGCTGTGGGCTTAGAATCCTGGAGGCTTCCCCAGAGCAACAGGAATTCTGGAACAATTGGGCGCATGTTTGGTTGAGTAACAATTCTCAAACCAAATGTAAGAGAAGGTCACCATTTTGAAGAGAAATGTTCTGAAACCTGCGGAGGATTTTCCCTGAAGGGGACAGACAGACAGCTGCTTCCCCCTCGCTGCTTCCCCAGGGGGTCGGGGGATGACTTCTGCTCCAATCCAGCACGCAAAGGATTGTTTGCTACATACCAAGCACTGTGCTGGGAGCTGGGAGCTCACCTGCTTCTCACAAAAGCCTCTTTCATAGGAATCCTCCCTCCCATTTTACAGGTGCGGAAACTGAGGCTCAGAGACGTTAAGTTCCAGCCCGAATTCCCAGGGCTTGGCAGTGCGCTGCTGCCTCCCCGCTGTGGCCCAAGCTGCAGCGAGAGCCTCCTTGGCTCTTAGCAGTGAAATACCTAAGGGGAGGTGAATCACTTCCCAGAGTGACTAGCCCTTAAAGGCCTTAGAAGTCAGGAACATCTCCCTTTTCTATAAAATGAAGCTAACTGAACCCTTGTGCGGTGACGTTCCTGCACATTCTTTGTCTCTACCCTCAGATTCCCCGGCTGCCCTGGGGCAAGGTCTCCCTCTCCCGCTGTCTCCTGGCTCCGGTCTCCCTCCCACCACCTCCTTTGTGTCATTTCTCTGCTTTATTGCACTTACCCCTCTGCCCCCGACATCAGATTTTACATTTGTCCGTCCATTGTCTTTCTGTCAGACGGTCATCCCCACATCCTGTGGCCTCTGCCAGAAGGGACGCAGCCACTTGGCAGGTGCTCTGAGCACCCAGTGGGGTGCCTATCGCTGCATCACCCAGCCTGCGGACTCCGCTCTGGCCCTGCAAGCGCGCTCGGGTGTCTGTCTGGCGGCAAGCAGCCTCCCTGCGGCCCAGCCAGCTCTAGGAACCGCCGTCCTCGCGCGCGGGAAACATTTTGCTGAAACCCCTCTCTTGAGGGCTGCCAGTCAGTTTTCCCACCAAGTTCCCACCAAGTGTTCCTGTTGGTCTGAAATCCCCAAAACTTCCAACAATGTAAAATACCCCCACCTTGGGGTGCCTGGGTGGTTAAGGGTCTGCCTTGGGCTCAGGTCAGGATCTCCAGGCCCCGGGATCGAGCCCCTTGGCAGGCTGCCAGCTCAGTAGGGAGTATGCTTCCCTCTCCCTCTGCCTCTCCCCCTGCTGTGCTCTCTCTGTCTCTCTCAAATGAACGAATAAAATCTTAAAAAAAAAAAATCACCCTAGCCTTTAGAATTCTCTTTTCAGTTGTCCGTATTTCTTAGCGGCGTGGGATAAAACAAGGTTGATATGCCATGAGGCTTTGCACCTGCTGTGCCATAGGCCAGAGAAGTTGCCACACAGCAAGGGGGGTCATGTGGCCAATGTTGCTGATCACTGCCGCTCATCTTTGACGGGGTATGGAGACTTCGTTATGACTTTGCTTCTGTGCATGTCTGCAAGTTTTGTCAAACCCAAACACCAGGGTGCTCTCGCGCTCCAGCTTTATGGGCATCTAAGCCTCCGATGGCTTCCAGGCACTATCTCC